AAAAATAATATTGGTATCAAATGAACACATCCAAACTCTTAAATGTCTTCTGAAATTAAATTTAAAAAACAAATCAAAAAATATTTTGTTAGAATTAACTTGTGTGTATATAGTGCAAAAAAAAAAAGTTTACTAACAGTTCAATTTGTACTGAAAATGGCTAGTTAGGTTTTATTATGTTGTGGATATTTTTATGTATGAAAAGTAGGTGAGTGACTTTCTAGAAAGAATGCAAATAAAAATTACCTAATGAATTCTAACTTGTAGAAACCAAGCTAATATAAAACAGCTACCTCATTACTTTATTCTGTTATCAAAAGAAAAAGAAAGAGACTAACTATGATTGATATGGTTTAATTACTAGAACTAATTATGGAAGTACATGAACAGCTTCTCAGTAACCTGAGTTAACTACTGAAATGATAAAATTATGGCTGAAAATATCATTAGCAATGAAGGTGCACAACTGATGAAGCAATGTATTCTGATCTTTATACCTGAGAACAGTACATCTAATTAGTGATATTACTGGGTTGGTTTTTATTTTTGATCTAAGTATGCTCTGAATGGGAATTAAGTATGACTTTCATGTACAGAAGCATTTTAATGCATATAATGCCAGAATAAGAGTTGTATAAGCATCACTCTACCAACTCATCCCAAGCCTTTTGTAATGAATCCCCAAACTAAGCATAAATGAAAATAAATTTTGAACTCCCCAACACAAAGAGAGGTATCACTGACACCCCCTGATTTTTGCTTCAGACAGTTGAATTAGAGAATTGAAAGTCTGAAAAAAATTAAATTCATACCTCCTTCACCATTATTTTTTTAAATCTAAGAATGATTAACATAACATACTATCTTTATACTGTTTGAACCAGTAAACATACATGTACCTGCTACACTATTATACTAACTGAACAAGTCAACTGCATATTTTCATAAAATTGCATGCCCTAAAAACATGTTAAAAAATTTTCAAAGAAATGATACATATTAAATTCTATCCTTAAAATTTATATTTGAAGGTTCATACAAATCTGCCATTTTATTTGTACACAAGTAAAATTACTTCATCAGAACTTGGAGATAAGTATATTAATGACAGAAAGCCATTTGGCTTTTCAAAGTCACTTCTACTTACAAACAAAACCCAATACCAATCCACCTAAATATAATTCATAAACATCCAACAAAAACTAAAAAGAAACTAGTTTACAGGTACACATAACTTCATAGTGTCATATTAGCCTATTACTCATTATTTTAGGAAAACACATAGGTTCAAAAAATCCATTAGAGACAAAAATATGAAACAAAATAACCTAGTTACCTGCTTAAAATCTGGCAAGGTTAGCCCATGATGAAAATCCTTTGAAGGTTATTTCATGTACTAGGTGTGGGCAATAACTTTTAAGTAAGGTAGAAGAACTAAATGATAGGTTATCACGGACATGTCTGAACCGACTGATAGTGATTAGATGAATGGAACAGGTTAAACTGTAGGGGAAAGATATCTGAATGTAATGGACATGTTCTGAATGCATGTTTCAATACATCTCACAAACTCTCAACTAGGTTGAGATCTATGGATTGTGGTCAGTAGGGATGAGAATGGAGCTCAACCCAGTCACAAACAATACCAGCAAGATGGGTGGTGGCATTATTGTCTTGAAAGAATTCATTACCTTGAGAATAAAAATGGGGCATAAAAGAGTGCTTTTGATCATCTAGGGTGCTCAAATATCTGCAGAATGAAAAGTGATCATTATCAGAAACTAAGGGTCTCAAACCATGCTGTAAAAATGCATCTTATATCATTATTACATCTCCAGCAGTTTGCAGAGTGCAAACAACACAAGAAGGTTCTAAAGATTCATGGAACTGTGACCAAACTTTCTCTCCCAGCTGAAGAGAATAACTCTTATATTGAGATTTGTCTGACCACATAACAATTTTCATTGGTCAAAGTCCTATTCCAATGGTCTTTGTACTACTGTAGGTGCACCTTTCTATTGGCAAATGAAACTAACTTAGTAGTTTGAGAACAGGTCAATTGTTTCCAAAGTTCATTTCTTGCAACTTTGCTCCTTCAATAATTCTTTTTTTAAATGGACGATTCTGCTAATCTCAATTTGTTTACCACTAAATGGCTACTGATCATCACAACCATTACAAAATGCTCCCTCTCTCTCTCTATCAGGGCAGTTCTGTCCACAATTTCCCCTCTTACAGATTTCTATCTCTCCACATAGAATCATGAAACAGGCACCTTTGACTTTCCAGTAAATTCCATTGCTTTTTCTATCAAGGCTCTAATTAATTTGTCCTCAACAATAATGTATATTTCAAAATCAGACACATCCTTACTGATCACCATCTTAATGAAGACTGAAGAACACAAAAACCATATGGTATTTTGTAGGTGCAATAGTCAAATGGAGCATATTTTTGGATATTTACTTATCACATAGTGGAAGGGCATAAAACCAAATATAACGAGTTTCTAATTTTTTGCACAGCAATATACTAGTTAAGCCTCACTTGGAATACTATGTAAGGTTTTGGTCTTCTTATTTTAGAAATGAGGGCTTTAAAATAATGCTACCAAGCAGTAAATTGTTCGTTAGTGTTGTAGTTTTGACACTAAAACTCAGAATAGACTAGAAATAAATTGCTGGTACACACACTTCAGAAGGAAGATTCACAGGTTCTTAATAACATGTATCAACACACCCATGATACATTTCAGTCATTTCCAAGATCTTTAGAACAGAAGGTTACTGTAATTGTGATTAAAATGATTGTTTTATTTGCCAGTGCCATGCTGGTTTTGCAATCTCCATTTTAGCTGCATAGCATACTCGGAATGAATACCGAGAAATGAGAATAGTTAGACCACAACTTAGTTAAAAATACTGCAGCCAAGTAATTATTCATTGCATGTAACAAGTACAAGCCATGATGGACCAAAAAGGAAAGGATTCCTTGTTGTCCATACATCATTATACTAATAAGAAAATTGAAAACTAGTTCTTTACTATATGCACATATAATAATGCTAGAAATCATTGGAACAAGTTGCTAAACCTAGAGACTTTGGAAAAAGTCAGTGTATTAAGTCTCACTGACATTACCAAATCTTGGTTTTGTGAAAATCATAAATATGTCATTTTATAAAGTTTCAAGAATCATGAAAGTGTAGAAATAAATATGGAGAAAGAGGTAATGTTGTATGAAATGGGCTGAAAATGTATGAGAATTCATATCACTGAGGTTAGGAAAAATTTGGCATGACTTGTTTAGGTTTAGGTTCTGAAAGAAAAAAAACATATATAATACAATTTTCTAGATGTTTAGGAAATTATGTTGTTGATACTAATCAGAATACATATACATGTACTGTATAGGCTTGGCTTACTGTTATAAGACACTTTGACATCAAGAAATGAACTGGTTTATGTTTGTTTTCTTCATTACGCTGAAGGTTGTGCAAGTGAAATATCCTATTTTAGAATGTATTATTTTAGGGTTTGGTCTTAGAAATGATTGTAGATGTGGAAGTACAAGAGCATTTACATCCTACAGAAATGAGAATATGAATAATCAATTTTTACTGAAATCAGACATACAGGCATATGAATCATATTTCCAGACAAAGTGTTAGAACTTATTGTCAGAAATAATTTGAAATGCACTTTGAAATAGAGCATTTAATACACAACATTTGACAAAGTTTCACAAAGGGACTTACTTTATCTAAGTTTTTTTTTTTTTTGTTTTGGCTGAGCATAAGTTACATTTTATTATTGGATGAGAAGTAACTTTGAAGGATCAAATGATTTATCACCATCCCCCCCTTTTTTTCTAATACATATCATGACTTTCATTTGAATCTTGATAAGGTAACTTTCAAAAAAATAATTAAAAACTCGGAAATTGGATATACAATTGAGAAGGTTGTAGAAAGCAGAAAAAATGATCATTTTTCTGATAAAAAAAATTAGTAATGGGGTATCTTTGTATTGTTGTATACAGGTAATTGAAATAATGATTTGGTAACCTCATTCCATCGTACTACAGATGTAGTTACTCTGTGGGGAAAATTTAATATAGAACTTGGAAGACACACAGTCTAAGACTACACAAGACAAGAATGTGGAAAATGACGTTAAGTATTAAAAAACTTAAGTGATGCAATTATAGTACATGTATAACAGTTTGAAAAAACTAACTTCTGGTAAGAAAAATACACTGATGCAAAGAGTGATGAGGATCTACATATATTTACAGAAATTTAGTATTATAGCCCCATATATTAAATAAGAATTTTGTGACACTTCATTTAGGATACTATGAATAGTGGTGATGAGAAGAGCTATTAAAATATATTAGCTTTGCTAACAGGATTAAAAACTTGGTTTTATTTTCTTTAAAGCAACAGAATAAGGGATAAATAATAATAACTACATATACTAAATTTAAGTGTTCCTTTACACAAAATATTCATGATGAATAATGAACTGCCTAATTCAAACTCAAAGTGATACTTGCAGAGAAAGTCTTGGAGGACTAATGTACGAAATTAGCTCATGTAGAAAGGGCAACATTTCATACTGACCTAGAGATGGAAGTTTTTAAAAATTGTCCTTTCTATCTGAGCTACTTTTATACATTAGTGCTCTACAAGTGTCACTCTGAACTAAGTAGTGGCTACCCATTTCATCTTTCTTCAACATTTAAGTTACTTTACAATTCTCAAAATAAGGTAAATTCCAAAACTGTGCATTAATCTAAGCTAAGTATAATGCATACGGACTTTAACGTAGGCCTATTGAATAAAACTATAATTAAGAAGTAGAACAGTTATAATTATATGCAAGAAAAAGCCACCTTTAATTTGGTATATACAATGCTTTAATTAACAGAGCTTCCTAAATACATACAGCAATTTTATCAATTTAATAGAGAAAATAAAAAGATTGATCCAGACTTACCACTTTCATACAAATCATTTTCATGATGTTCTCTCCTATTAGTATTAGTTGAATATGCAACATCAGACTCTGAATCACTTTCACTCTTCATTCTTATTCAAGTTTTTGTTTTTGTAAAACTTCTGCCCAGATTCTGAGAGTTAATATAATTTATGTGATGAAGAATGTAAAAAAGTTACAAATTTTGAAGAATTATATTCTTTTCATTCTATTGTAATATTCAACTCTCTCGAACAAAATAGTAAAAATCCATAGCCCAGAGATGCAAATATATTTCTTAAATGGAAAAAAATAAAAGGGGCTTAATTAAAACAAAAACTACCCAACGAATGAATGATTTTAATGAATACAGTACAAAACTAATTAATAAAACAATACTTGTCTTAACTGGTGGCAGTTAACCCTAAATAGTACAACTACGAAGTTGCAACTTGCAAGACTCCCTACTACTGCTACAACAGTACAAGTACTTTAGACATTTTGTAGTACAGTACACAGTAAATTACAATTAACGCGACAAGTAGATAGTTTGGAAACCTATAACTAATTAATACTCTGATTATTGTTTTAGCAACACGATGTCAATGAATATAGATATATATATTTATCACAACACAGAATACTTTTTAAATTCCATTTCGCTTATTTCACGTTAATAGGGTCAAACTTTTAATGCACAACTTTGACATGTTGGCATCCATAACAATGGGATACCATAGCGCCATCTGCTATGTGTACATATTATAACCGTAACGGTTAATATTTTATAAAAATGTTTTGTTTTGTTTTCTGATCGATTACCTTATTAATTTATGCGAAAAAAAAAGTTAATCTTTGGTGAGGTTTAATTTATCTTCTCGCATACACTTGGAAAAAAAAAGAACTGTAGAGGTGTTTGGTACATTTATATCAAAATTATTCTGGAGTTCCACCATGTCTTAACAGTCCGTAACGCCACTTCCAGTCTTTCTCTACCTTACGACCGCGCATCTTGACAGATAGCCCTGCTGCGTAATGTCCATTGCAAAAGATTTTGTCATAAGTCATTCATTTCCAAAGTATGCCACTATTCTCTTTGGGCTTTCCATAATCCATCTACTTTATGAAAATGAGGGTTTCCCAATACCCATTTCAACAACCCAATCACGCAGAAATCCGTAGGCACTGCCACTGCGTCTGGTGATTTGACCGGCATGCCTTCGTAAGAAACAGCACTAGGTGTAAACATTACTTTTTGGTTTTACAGACTGAGATACCTTGATTCTTGATTACTGTTGCCTAAGGTGAGTAGCTTTTGCCACTTACCTTTGTATTAGTGGATTCTTACTTGTTACAAAACGCCAAACTTTGCTTACCACAGCTGAGATACGACTTATAGCAGCTCTCTTTCTGGATTTTTGCAAGTTTCCCAAGTTGATCAATATTCCTTTGTTTTTCCAGTACCTTGAAATACAAAGGATATACATCATTTGGAAACTCTAAATGCCAGATATCACATCTTTATGATGTGAGTGTAAGAATATTTTGCATTGGAAAGGGCTGTTATATATCCTTCCCCAAAGCGTTCAGTTTTTGTTGGCATTACATAATCTACAAGATGTCAAACAATTCAAAAATGTTGTTCTGAAACATGCAACTTTTTTTTAGTTTGTAGTTATCATGTGACTTGCAACTTTAAAATCATTTAAGTATAGTGTACTCAACCTTCTGTAAGTCATTGATTGAAGTATGTGTGATACCAAATATTCTTTTTTCCTCAAGGATATATAGGTTGGATATTTTCTGACTGGCCTGGCATGGCCAGGTTCGCTGGTTCGAATCCCCGTTCTACCAAACATGCTTGCCCTTTCTGCTATGGGGTCGTTATAGTATGACGGTCAATCCCACTATTCGTTGATAAAAGAGTAGCCCAAGAGTTGTCGGTGGGTGGTGATGACTAGCTGCCTTCCCTCTAGTCTATCACAGCTAAAGTAGAGACGGCTAGCGCAGGTAGCTCTCGTGAAGCTTTGCGTGAAATTCAAAACAATTTTCAGACTTCTGTCTTTAAATCCTCGCTTGATTTTGCTCTTTTCCATTTATTTTAGCTCTTGCTCTCTCGCCTTCATCCACTACAGTCAGAAGATACACAAGGAGATGCCCAGCCAGTTTTGATAGCCTAATGCTATGTTTGTTAATAAAGAATTTTGTGTTTAGAGCTACGTTTGTTTACATGTTGTCCTCTGATGTCTGGGTTCAATGTATTGTTCACTTAGCAGTCCCGATTCTGCAATTTACAAAAATGTTTGGTTTTCTGCTTAACTTCAATGTACCTGAATACTGCAACACTTCTCTTTTCAAGAAAGAACCATTTCCAATAAGTCGATGCTCTTACTAATATAAGGACAACTGCACACAAGGCTTAATTAGTACTTATACATAGATACCTTGATATCTTTACACTTGTCAAAATACATATATCAGGGCCGTTGTAGTACTTTTTGTATTGGGAGCATCCAAAAATTTTCAATTTATAATATTATGACATTTTTCAGATATGTTGTCAAAGCATCATGAATTATCAGGGTTCCCACGCTGTCAGGAAATTGGAAAAACTGTGTTTCAAGGCGTGGACAGTCCTTGATTTTTCCATTCTTTGGTCTGGAAAATTACAGATTTATCACTGTTAACTTCTTCAGGTAGATGTGAATAAATCTGCATTACTTATCGTTCCGAATCTGTATATATTTCAGGGAACAAAAGCTAGAAAATAAAATAACTAATTTTGCAATCTGTCAATATAAGATGACACTGTTCGTCTGAGGTATCTATAGAAACGTGTCGAGAAATGATGGTGCACCAGCAGAATTAGATAAACATGCATTAGATAAGTAAGCTCGCTCATATACGCATGCGGCTAATTTCGTCGTTAAGACAAAGAAAGTTCAATCACCGTTTTCAGATGTTACTAAGGTACGTAATTTTGATTTTAATCTGCTTGAGATGAAAATATTTGTACATTATCGTCTTTGATCATTTCATTCTATGATTAGTCTATTTCTCAATGTAACTTGGGACCATGAAGTCTAACCAAAGTAGCCTAGGCCTAACGTTAGCCTATACCTTAAATTACTGTTAATGAGTAAAATAAACATTAGAAAGATAAAAGAAAGATGTGTGGTGTAAAGTTAAGGCTTCGGCATGCTAAGTTTGGGGTTCACAGCTCTTTGAACGCCCCCCCCCCCTCACCACGTAAGCAGTTACATGTAATTGTTAGGCTGGTCTACATTTATCATAGCTCTCATAGCTGGGATCTTATGTAAGAGCTGTTGTTACTGTATGCCTAGCCCATCGAACACATAACAGATTAGCGTTAGGCCAACCGTGGTTTATATTTCTATTTCATTCGTGCAATTTGTACCCTTTTATAGTCAATCCTAGTGAACGTGTCAGCATTTCTATTGATGCTGGTTTTAGAGGTTGAAATTCATACACCCAAACACTGACATAGGCCTACAGCCTGCATCTCGATCAAGATCACAGTAAGAAAATATGGCCTCGTTCTTATTTGCTTTTCATAACATCTTTTCGGATGCCTGGAAATTGCCCCTTTTAAGATGCTTGGCTTACACATGACAAATTAAGTAAGTGGATCAAAGGGAAAAGAATCCCCATCAAGCAGTTTGGGTATAAAAGAGAGAATCATATCAATTATAGGTAGTTCTGCTTTTCACAGTCACATGAGAGATAAAAAAAAACATAAGAAAGAAGATGCCTTTTCCAAGACACAGCCATGAACTAATTTTGCACCAACAACAACCAACTCATCACCAGAAATAATCAGAAGCCCACTCTTCAAAAACCAACTTCAAAATTACTTCATATTTCACGAAAAGCGATTCTAAGATTTGGTAGGCTTTAAAAACAGCCAGCTCTGGTTATTCATTCAGATCAAATGATTATATATCATTTGTTTGGAAGAAACAGTTCTCAGACAGTGAAATAACAAAAAAAGGCAACTTGTGGATAGACAAAATGCATATACTTAACGTTATGGATTAGCTCCGCACCTGGAATTTCTATTCGAATGAAAGGTACAAAACGAGCCTTATGTTTGTTATTTGAAAAAAGCCACAATGAACACCTTCCGAAGAAACAGTTAGATTTTCCAATACGGTTTTGAGATGTTAACTTTGTCAGGTCGAGATACTCCATTTGACAATTCTCTAGGAAATTTGGGCTTTTGCAACCTTGTTAGAGTTCTCTTGATTGTTTTGTATGGTCAAGTTGAAGTTGAGACATGTTTTTATATTAAAAAGAACATAGAAAGTATCGGTATAGAACCTTATCTTTTCAACATTTAACAAGTCTCAGGGCTGTAAGAGGTTACATCAACATAGTTGTACTTGAAAAATATTTAGATAGCAAACGAACTTCTTACAGAATAAAATGGAGTAAGACAAAGTATTAGAATGCTCTTAACGAGAGACAAGAAGCACAAAAAAACTGATGAAAGAAAAAGAAAGGAAGTAAAGGGTGGATGACATTGATTGTCTTAAGAAAAAACAGAAGAAAGGACAAAAGAAGACAGAGAACATGGTGAAAGATGCTGACAAATATTGTGAAAAAGTTGAAACACTTGTCACCACAGCTAGCAGTTTTTGGAGATGCTCTGCGCAAAAAGAGGGGGAGATAAAAATGATCAATGAAGAATTGGATAAAGCCTTCCAGGAATTCCGAGACTTTTAACATTTCAGCATAACTACTCCATATTTTGTTTAGAAAATGTTGTTTTTATTGTTGTATCAATCATATCTCAAAAAGAAGTGTAAATCTGTTTTGTTTTTCTCACTCATTCCTTTTTCTTTTAGTTTTGAATCTTGAAAAAGTTTCCTAGGGTCTTGAATGTTTTCCATTAAAAAGTGTGGAAACCATGGATTATAATCATACCATATTTAAAGGCAACCAAGAAGATAACACACATAGGTTATACTTTACCTATTGGCAAAAGCAATACATTTAAGTGACTGTTATAATATATATAAATATGTTTGAGTACTTAGAATAAACATATACATATATGATTATTTTAAAAGGATACCATTATCCGAATTTGCTAAAAAAAAGCAAACATTAGAATAAATTTTACAGGTAACCTCCGAGTAATTTTTTTCAATTTCTCAAAAGACAATTCTTGCAAAAAATACACTATTCATGACCCATAACACAGTGAATAGTAACTTAATTTTATAAATAAACGCAAATTATTAATGTCTTGTTTCAATAGGATGAAATTTAATACATATTATTATATGTGCTTAGATCAGCCTACCGTCTAGAATATCTATTTCGTTTAAAATACCGAAACAATAATAATAATCTTTAATTGTATGTTTTACGTAGCCTGCTGTTTAGAAATTATTGGGGGCAAGTCCCCCTAGCCCCTCCCAGTTTCTACTCTCCTGTATATGTATATAAACCCAAAATTATGTTAGCTTTATTACTGTCTCAAATGCTTCAGATTTGTATCAACCAATGCCCAAAGATTATTTTTCTGAATCACATCAAGAGGATTCGTATTTAAATTATATGCTTAATTTATATTATGATAGCCCACGAAAGTAACCTTGCACTTTACATAATGAAATGTCATCTGTCATATTTTTGTCCAACTAACTAACCATTCTGAGTATTTCTGTGAAATCATAGCATCCTCGTTACAGC